ACTTCCTCCTTATCTCCTAGGCATTCCCAGTAGGTAGCTTTGGGGGGGATCCTTGACTTCCCTGTAGATAGGGCCCTTTCTACTGGAAGATTAAGTCCCCACCCGCTCCCCGTCTGGGCAGGCTATAACTTTTGTAATTACAAGTTTCATGACTTTTCCAGTCCTTGACCAACGTATGATATCTTAGGCCTTGTAAATTTCCTTTATTCTAGGCAAGGTTGATTGACACTATGAGGTACCTGACACCAGGAAGTCTGTTCCTAAAAAGACAAAGTTGGCAAAGTTGATTTTTACTTAAAGTGTGCATTTCTCCAAAAGCATAGCTTCTACTTTCTCATCATTGTATTAAGATTTAGGAATAAGAGTAAAAAAATGCATTTCCCGCTCTAGGCCTGTTCTTTCATCAAACAACTTCTGGGAAAATAAATCTCAAAACATCATATAGAATTTTTTATTTAATCATTCAAAGTGGTAGCTTAGTTTTTGGAGGGAAAAATTAGCACACCCATGCTCTCCTTAAAACAATTCTATATTTGTCAAGTTTCTGAACACATACTCATACTCAGCCTGGGTTAATGTTATCAGCCTCCATCATAAATATTGACCCAATTTCTCTCCTATGATTCCTTATTTAAATGGTTTCACATCCAAGGAATATAAACCTTCAATAGACTTCTGTATAAACAGAATTTTTAAAAGGAGTGAAAAATGAAATAATGATGCCCAAATATTTAAATATGTAAGACCGTATTTCTCCTGATTCTAGAAGAAATTCTGTAAGCTTCACTAGATTTTCTTTTATTTTGGTATAAATGTTCTTGACATGTGCTACAAAATGAACATTGAAAATATTATTCTAAGTGAAAGAAGCCAGTCACAAAAGACCCTATTTTGTATTATTTAATTCATATGAAATGTCCAGAACAGAAAAATTTATGGAGACAAATTATACTAGTAGTTGCTTAGGGCTGGCAAGGCTGAATGGGGTGGGGGCAGATAGCATAAAGGATATGGAGTTTTGGGGGTGATTAAAGTGTTCTGACATTGACTGTGCTTCTGCTTGCATAAATTTGTAAATATACTAAAAAACATTGTATACTTCAAAGAGGTGGCTTTTATGAAATATGAATTATATCTCAGTCAAGCTGTTATTAAAAACAAAGCAGGGAGTTTATACCTAATATCTAGTACACTGCATTCATTCAGAGTCTGTTTTCTCCTAGTGCCTGACCAACTAATTCAATTTAATGAAAATTAGGAGCCACTCCTCATATCAAAACGCTGTGAACCATTATTGCAAGAAATAAAAGATGAAAGTCTCTATTTTTAAGGAGGTTAAAACTCAGTGTGTGTGTGGGAAAGTTACAATATAATAATAATGATGATGAGAAAGATAATAATGATAACAAGAAAGGGAGGAGGAGAAAAAAGAACTAACTTTTTATTGAGTATTAACTATGTGCCAGGAACTATGTTAAATGCTTTAAATGTTATTTCATCTCATTCTCATAAGAATCCTAGCAATAAATACTATTATTTTTTTCTGATTTTGTATATGAAGAGATTGAGTCCCATAGAGGTAAAATAACTTATTTAGGGTCACATATCAAGAAATGGCAGAATGACAATTACAACCCAGTGTTTAGCTAAGAGCCAGGGCTCTTAACAACTAGAGTCCATAAGTATACAAAATACATAATATAAAGCAAGTTAAGGTTAAGTGCCATGAAAAGAGTCAAGAAAAATTGCTAAAGCCATTTGATAAAATAATACACTTTGCAGCTCAGAAAGGAATGAGGATGTCAGTTCAGCTCTAAATTTCGTAAGTGTTCTTGAATGTTTGACTATAATTTTCATGAGGGATGAAGTAGCTAGAAACCAGAATCTCAGATTAAATATTTATTTTTTTTGTAAAGTATATACTGTCAAATGGAAATAATTACAGAATATCCCAGTGTCAAATGAAAACTTTCTCCTCAAAATAAATTTATAATTATCAAGGAAGTTTTTACAAGATATAAAGAATCCCAAATTGCATTTGCTCTCCTTATTGCCAATCTAAACCTTCATTTTCAGCCCGAGATGTTTCAAATTCTTCTTTTTGTACTCAAAATTAAATCCTTCATTTAGAGTGTATTTATTTTTCTCATCTCTTGTCTTCCTTCTTATTGTCTTTCTCACTGCTTCATTTCCCATAGCCAAAGCTAGTTGAATGCTACAGCTAAAGCTATTTTCCTTACTAATTACATAAAGCAAATTGCTAATAACAACTTTGGTGCTTTCCATATAGGAATAAAATTATTTTGCTTTCAATCTGGAGGCAACATATTAAATGTTCACCTAAATCTATTTATTCTATTGTCTTCCATAAATTTCTATAGCATTTTTCTCTACCATAACTTCTATATTTACTCTAAAAAATACCATTTTTCTTCTTTACCAAGTCATTTTTGAGTGCTTTTTAAATGTCTTTCTCAAACACTTTAGAACATTGTTTTGACTATAATCAAAGGAATAATGTAGTTTTATTATCTAGACAGTCAGTAGTGCTGATAAGCAAGAAATATTATGGTGGACCACCCTCTTCCTCAGTCACTATGTAAAAACCAATGCAAACAAAATTACATTGGCATAAATGATCACTTCTGGGTTAACCTGCAGATTACAAGAATATGTGATAGAGGACAAGTGATTTAATTTTATGTCAATAATGAAATAGACATCTTAGAATTCTGTATTATTGGACAGGTTAGTTAGGTGACTCCATGAAAATCAAACAAACAAAAGACCCAAAAACCTCAGTGGCTTAACACATAAGTTTATTTCTCATTCACAAAAAGTTCACTGCAAGTCCATCAGAACTCCAGGACAGGTCCCTTCTAAAAAGGTACGAGGTGGCATCCATCTTGTAGGTGTGCCATTTAGAGCACACTGCTTTCAGGTCACTGTGACAGGTAAAGAGAGAGCTAGAGGGTCATGCAGGAATTTTCACTGTTCCAATATGGAATGGAACATCACTTCTGTTCTTCTGTTTACAATCCCTCTGCTACAGTGGCATGGCCTAACCACAAGAAGCTGGGCCTAACCACAAGAAGCTGGAAAGTTAATGGGAGTTTGTGCGTGTGTGTGTGTGTATATATATATATATATGTATATATACATATATATATATATGATGGCTGTAAATGGTTTTGCCGTATTCTACAAATAATATAAGCTTTTAAAAAACATTTTAATGAACAACAATTTTGAAAAGCTCTATATGGATACAAAATATCCATTAAATGTAATTGGTTTTTTTATCACCATATACATATAGATATATTTTTAGGAAAAAGTTAAAGTTATGAACCTCCAAGTTGATCTAGCATGACATTACTATAATGTTCCAAGAACCCTACTGAGAAATACCGGTATGTCCACTGCAAAAATATGGCGAGTCAACATGTCATTTCTCTACTAGATTTTTTTATCTTCATAGTTTTACTTGTGATTCAAGGGAGCTGAGATAAAATCAGCTATTTAAAAACAATATCCATTGAGCCTCTCATCATGCCAAAATACTTTGTACCTATGACATTACAACATCCTCTGTAATAGGTGATTTTTTGAGACATGAATTTATAATTGATGTTATTCCAATATATAAAAGTGTAAATTAAAAATAAAATTTCAACTAACTTTAACATTTGTGATAAAAGTTAATCAGTAACACACACAAGGCACCAAATCTTAATAAAATATGGACACAGGAAGATCAATGCTGTCATTATAACGTACATTTAACTTCTATTTTAATTCAATTGTAATGCTTAAGACAACAAACTTTTAAACAGCATACTTACTAGGATTTTGGCAGTAGTTTTACATAACGAGACATACAGCATACTAGAGGTCTGGCACTCAACTTGCGTACAGTAAACCGGCTTCAATATGAAGGCATTAAATATTTTTAAAAAACCTTCTTTTCACATGCTAAATATTTTGTCAAGTGTGCAGTTAAACACAGTAATGAAATTAATATAGCAAGATTAAGAAACTACAAACTTGAAACTTGTATCTTAAGCATAAATCATATTTTCAAAAATTACTGGTTATATAGAATATCACTGGATAATCAAAACTTAATAGTATAAAACATGCAAAAAAGTTTCAGAATCTTTCTTAATCAAAAAATATCAGGGTCTGTTTAAAATTATTCCCCTCCAAAAGGTATCAAAGTTAATTCAAGCCATATAGTATTCCAATCCTAAATATGATTCAGTACTATAGTGAATAGTGCTGAGGTGGAGGTAAATTTCAGAGCTATGGGGGCTTACATATTCTGTAAACTGCTGGCTTTCTTGTTCACTTGAAGCAGCATACAACAACATCCAGTAATTTCATTAAGTAAGAAAAGAATGGCTGCTGCACTGGCAAAAAATAGGATGTGTAAGGATCAAAGGCACACTATTCAGGTAGCCAAAGTGATTAGGAAATACTTCTCCCTCCCACCCCGAAAGCCCTTTCTCCATGTAAACAAAAGTTCTTTAAAGAAAAAAATAAAATAAATGAAACTTATCTACGAAATTAAGGATTTTTAAACATCAAAGTTAAGTCTTTGCTTCAAAAATGTCAGCTATAATCATCTGGATATTTCTGATTACATTTTAAAGATGCATCCAAATTAGATATATTTAACCTTAGATACATTTTTTGGTCAAATTTATTCATTATGTAAAACATTTTACTTAATTTCAAACATTTTAACCACTATTATGACAACAGAGTTTCAGCTCCCAGAGGAATTAACAACTGGAAGGAAAGACAAACAAACAAAACCGTATATCTAAGCTGCAGGCAACAATTATGGCCCTTTCTGGCACAGTGGCATTTGACTGGCAACTCAGTCTAGGAATAATTCTACTAACATAGGGAAACTCATGCATTTGGTTAATATGCCCTATTTTCACAGTTGAAGCTTCCTTTGACTTTGCTTTTTTAAAATATGGAAATCTTGCTTTTTTCTTGATGTTATTCTGACTTGTGACTTGAACCAGACTTCTTTTTCTTCTTTTTACTATGTTTCTTGTGCTGTTTCTTCTTCTTCTTCTTTACTTTTTCCATTGATTTTTCTTGCTCTTCATGCCTTCTCTTCTTTTTGGCTTGTACCTCCTCTTCATAATCTGATTTTGATGAGGACTCAGATGATAAAGGCTTATCCTCAGGATAAGTTTTCTTTCTTTTTCTGCTAAGGCTTCTAACATACTTTTCTTTCTCTGTTTCATCCTTTGACTTCTTTTTCTTTTTTAAAGATTCCTTGCTCTCTGATTCTGATTCATATGTAGAGCTTTGTGACGATTTGTATGAATGGTTCTTCTTTTTCTTTCTCTTTTTTCTTTGTTTCTTTCCCTCATCCTCAGGATCTGAAGAACTGCTTGAAGAATCAGAGCTTGATGAAAAAGACTGACAGGATTTTTTCTTTTTCTTTTTCTTTCTTTCTTTTTTTTTAGATGAGCTCTCATTTGCACTTAATAATTTCTCTCTGCTTTTTTCGAGTTCTTTCTTCCAATTCTCATTCATTTTTTCTTCAAATTCAGCTAATGCCTTAGAGCCCTTTTTTTTGTTTTCTAATTGTTTCTTTACTTCTTCCCAGGTGGGCCTTGGTCGATTCAGATAATCTTGGATTGTTGGGCCTGCAGATTGAGTTGGGCCTCTCCATCTGGCCATTGCTATAGGATTCATATAAGCCACTCGATTATCCCGCTTCCCCATGGTGCCTGATGTTTCCCAGGGCAGATTCTCAGTTGCCACAGAGAATAAGGATAAATACTTTATTTAAGATTTCATCTACTGGTGTACCAAACAGGCTCCATTCTGTGAGAGAAAGAGATGAAATTATTACAAAACATCCTTAATATATGACAAATTATCACAAAAGTTTAATTGTTCATTGCTTATCACATAGTACAGTAGAAATTTCCATAATATGATGCCTTGAGATGAAATGGTATATACATTTAAGATTTGTGCATATTACAGTCACTGAGGCATAAATATAATATAAATTAAACATGTTTTATATATCTCAAGTAAGATTCTAACAGGTTGCTAAAATGTTGAACAATTTTCTTTTGTATTTTATGAGACATACCTGTTTTCCCTTCTTTCATTCCTGCTTTATATGATATATATAGAGAATTTTATCTAGCTAAAATTTGCGCCAAGCAAACATCCAGTTTAAAAAAGTGCAGGATAATCCACTCCACTCCTTTTGACAGAAATGTGAAAGTCATACTTGAAAAATCCTTCTGTCTCAACTCTCACATCCAATCCCTTCCTAAATCCTGCTGTTTAAACCTCTATAGTAGTCCTTGTACATCCATTCACTTCTTCCCAAATATAATGCCATCAACTTAGTCCATGCCACCATCATCTCTCACTTGAATTATTAATCTCTGGCATCTATTTAGTGTTATCTGTCAGGGACTTCTTAGTGTATGCAACAGATATCTCATTTATTCTCTGGGCTAAACCTATGAATTTGGCTCTGTTATTCCTATTTCGCAGATGGAAAAACTGAGTATAAAAATTTTTAGCATACCTTGCGTAAAGTAACAGGACTAATAAATGGCAAAAACAGGATTTAAAATTAATGATAATAAAGCCTAAAGAACAAGAGGGCGAGAGGAAAGAGGCAAGGTTGCATAGACAGGAAGAAGCTTGATTGTAGAAGCCTTCTTAGGTCATTTTAAAATCTAGAATTTGCCCCATAGTTGTAAAAGAGCCAATAGAGTATTTTAAAAAGAAGAGAAAGAGGATCAGACATATCATATAGTTTTCTGTCGGTCTCCATCTTGACACTTGCCCTTTAAGTCAAACTAACATAAACATCATAAGCTCAATGTTACAGACATTTCAATGACTACTGGTAATAGCTTTCTACATTTGATTTGCTGTGTTATTGATCTTTTTCTCCTTTCTCTTTAGTTCTGTCTACCTCCTCTTAGGTATTTCTGTCATTTTCATTCTTACTCCTACTCTAAAAACCTGTCAAATATCATTGTGTCCCTGATTTGACTATCAGAAGCACTTAAGGACTTTAGTTCATATTCAACTTGCAGCTTCTTTCTGCTGCTTGACACATAATCCATTCTAATATCAGTTCCTTGAAATCTATTCCTGACGTCAGCCAGAAAAATAGGAAAAGGCCAGTTCACAAAGGCTTTCTATGCTACGCTAAGGATGTTGTAATTTATCCTTTGGCACTTACAGTGAAGCTAATATATAAATACTGTTTTAAGCACAAGTGTGATATGGTCATATTTGTGTATTTCACATCTATTTATAGAGTGAAAGATGGATTAGAGTCAGGTAATACTGAAGGCAAAGAGACAATTTAAATATTCACACAGACAAAAACTAAAGTCTGAACTAAAATAGTAACATTGTAAACAAAAAGAGAGGGAAATATATGAGCTATACTGAAGAGAGTCTACTGAATTTAATAACCAATTTGATACAAAAAGTGAGAGAGAGAAAGAAATCTAGGGCAAGGCTCTGACTCGAGACATTAGAGAAAAGGCAATGCCAATGACTAGGTAATATAGGAAATGGCACAGACTTTTAGGAAAGGTTCTAGATTCCATTTGGACTCATACAATTTGAAGTTTTTGTGAGACATCTAAGTAAACATGCATGTTAGGAAACTGGATGTATGGGTACGGCACTTTGGAAAGTGATCTGAGTTAGAGATATAGGATTTGCAGTCACTGAGTGATGGCTAAAGTCATGAAAGAAAATTAAGTTACTTTGAAAGAGAATTTCAAATGATAAAAGGTTTGACATTGGATCAAATTGAACACCACCATGCAAGGGGTTGGCACAGGAAGTAAAGCCTACAAAGAGTACTTGAGGAAATTAGCCAGAGTGGTAAAAGCTAGACTGGTATCAAAAATCAAAGTAAGAGTCACAGAAAGATAGGGAGGATAAAGTTTCAAGGTGAGGGCACGAATCCTCATGACTCAGTAAAGTTTACATTTTCTACAATCAGCAGGTATTAATGTTACCTTTGAAACATCCAGTAAAAAGAAATAAAACATATCGTAGACTTAACAATACTAAATGAAGCATATAGGTCAAGGAAAATAAGATCTGAAAATATCCATTATGCTTAGCTATTAAAAAGTCATTAGTACCTTTGCTAATGCTAATTCAATTAAATAGTGAGGGCAAAAGCCATATGACAGTGGTTAAAGACTAAGTGGGAGGTGAGAAAATACAGACATAGAATATACATCCTTAGTTGAGAAGGAACGCGATAAGAAGACAATTATAATGAAGATGCAGAATTAAAGAAAATACTTTTTTGTTCCTTATTTTTAGTATGGAAGAAACTTGGGTATATTCATAGGGCATCAAGAAGGATAAAGTACACAGAGAAAAAGTTTTGAAAAGATAAGTAACAGAGAATATAACTTATGTGGCAAGGTCTTAGAAGATACAGAAAAGAATGAAATTAAACTCAGAGGTAGAGGCACCTCTTTTTCCTAAAGCAGAAGCAAAGAATAAAGAAAGGGTATGGATGCAGTGTTTTGGGAGGGTGGTAGGAGGTGAAAGGGAAAAAGTTTAAGAGCTTTTTGCCAAGTAGCCTTTATTTTCACTAAATGATAAGTGCCAAGGTCATCTGCTAAGATTAAGACAGCATAGGAATTTTAAGACTAGTCATTAAAATTTGGAATAACAGCAGAGAGGAATGGGAGAGGGCACCGACATCAGATTAATGCTATGAAAGGCCTTCAAAAGTGCAAAATCTGTGTGTTCCTTTCCCAGAAGATAAATAACACTGAGAAAAGAGAAGAAGTAACACCAACAAGGTCTCTTGCTCAAACACTCTTTGTTTAAAAAGTATTGTGGTGCCGGGCTTGGTGGCTCAGCCTGTAATCCCAGCACTTTGGGAGGCTGAGGTGAGTGGATTGCCTGAGCATGCAGGTTCGAGACCCACCTGGGCAACTTGGCGAGACCTCATCTCTACAATAAATCAAAAATTAGCCAGGCATGGTAGCGTGCACCTATAGTTCCAGCTACTTGGAAGGCTGAGGTGGAAGAATTGCCGGAGCCCAGCAGGTCGAGGCTGCAGTGGCTGGGAGCGGCCACTGCACTCCAGTCTGGGTGACAGAGTGACACTCCAACTCAAAAAAAAAGAAAAAAAAAAAGTATTGTGGCTTACCTTCTCTGTTTCTGTTATAGAATAATAAAAAAAAAACGTTGATTCTCTGTATCTTTACTAATTTGTATATGCTAAAATTATGTAAGACTACTTGTAAAATATGACAACCATGCTGGTAACCTACATGCTATAATATTTGTTCATTGAATCTTACAACAATTCTTTTTTGATCATCTATCATGTGCTAGACATTATATTAGATGCTATGGAGATTATGGTCTCATAATTGTAATAGTCATTACAGAAGTAACAAACAAATGAGTATATAATTATAATCATTATTGGAAAGATGAAGGAAAAGTACAGGATGCTATGGCAGGTATAATGAGGGACTTAATTCAGAAGGGAAGGTCAGGTCTGAGATATAATGTGAGACCTAATGGATAAGCCAAAACTAGCCAGATGAAGGGGTTAAACAGGATGAGGGTAATACAAAAACCAAAACTGATTGAATGTTCCAAACAGAAGAAATATCAGGTGCTAAGCCCTTAAGGTGAAAAGGCTGAATACCATGCAAAATATTTGCTCTGTTAAACTGCTATAAACTAGTCATCATCTCAATTTTCCTTCTGAAAGTAATTATATTTACACCATTGGTCATTGACTATACTCAGATAATAGTCAATATGAATCTAATTTAATTGAAAACATATTTTAATATTTCATAGTCTAGTTTCTATCATAAATATTACCAAAACAACTTATTTTAGAGACCTTTTCTATTCTACAAATCACTTCATTGAATTTTCAGTCAATGTATAATTGCACATGAATTCTAACAAGCACATGAACTTGAGTTGAAAACATTTTTCGAAATAATTGATGATTCCTCTAAGACTTAATCTGAAACACCCAACTCTTCTGCAAATGTCTGGGCATTTGAATGAGGCCCCTATTAAAAAAGAAAAACTTTAATGCTTTTAGTTCATATTAGCTCACGTAAGTTTAACTACCATGCTACTAAAATAAATGTCTATTAGAAAGTTACTTGAAGGATTGTGTGTATTCAATTATAAAACTATGTAGTATCCTAGACACACATATACAAAGAAATGCATCTATAAAATTATAAAATGATAATAGTCTGTACATATAAAATGATAACAAAATGCACATATAACAATACCTTTAGTATGTTTCACCATTTCACACTGGATGATAATATAGAGAACAACTATAGTGCAATTTAATTCACAGTACAAATAGATGTGTATGGATAAATTTAATAGAGTTAATAATTTCCTAAAAACACTTCACTCTAGCCAGGGTGGGTAATAAGATATCTTTTCTAATAAATAAAAGCCAAGCATGAACACATCCTATTCTGGTTGTTAACATGACTTGTTCTGAAGGAGAATTTATTGCTTTTCTCTTGACTAGAATGAACTTGCTGGAAAACTGTGCTGTGCTGAAACCCTTCTTCTTATGTGAATTCCATCCAGCAGAGTTCTGTCACAAAGAATTCACCATTCTAGGGAAAAGGTGTAGAATTTAAAATACAACTTCCTCTTTCTTCCCTCTCCAGAATTATAAAATGGCAAAGGAACTGTCTCTACCATCTTAAGGATGATACCAGAAAGCCTACAGCAGTAACAAAATATTGTAGATGCACATGATAAAACAGAAAAGAATGGCTATGAGAGGACAG